CGGAGGTGGGGGGGGTGGTTGGGAGGGACCACGCTGGTCTGAGTCTCCTCTCCATCTGCTGGCGGCAGAATTCCATCCCTCAGCATCTTTCAAAAATCTGACTCCTGCGGTGAAAGTGCCCCCATGGAAAGTGCCAGTAATACTCTGCACAGAGAAAAGTGCCTTTCCAATGATCAAGAACAGTACTTGGGAGCTACTATTTTGCCGTGGATCAGGGAAAGAGAAAGAAGCCAGACTTTTGGAGTTCTGGTTTCCCTTCCAACCACAAAGGCAAACAAAGTCTAGGAAGAGGAGGAGGCTAATAGTTTGTCCTTCTGTACGGAAAAACTTTGGGCCTTATCAGAGTTCTTTGCAAATTATTATACTCAGAAATTATTATTTTTCAGAAATGATTATTAAAGGTCTATTTGTGCATGATCCCAGTCACCAGTCTTGTAAAGAGGAAATTACCAAATACTTTCAGAACTCATAGTTTTATATAAACAGTCTGGATCATGGTCATAGACATTTTATTCCCATTTTAAAGATGACGTTGAAGGACTTGGATGAGATTACCTTGAAAGGTTGGTGGTTGAAGTCAGAACTGAGTTCCTGATTAGTTCATTTTCCTTGTTCAGAGCCGATCCTCACTGACTTTGCACGAGCATAAACCAGAATTTACCATTGCGTGCATGGTTTTGTCATGTTCTTGTCTCCATGTGCAAGGTGGGGGTCCCTAATGGGTATAATTAACACTGTGTGCTGTGTGTGTGTGCGCGCTGCTGGTGTGTGTGTGTGTGTGTGTGTGTGATGAAAGAAGCCCGAAGAGCAGCTTTGGGTCCCAGTCAAGGCCTTCAGTATATAAAAACATATTGTCCTGATCAGACCCTTGCTTTTAACAAAAAAAAAAGAAAGAAAAAAAAAGAAACTCCCTAGACATTTTAGGCAAGTCCAAATTATGTGATAAATATGTAACTTACCACTCTACAATCAGAAATGAAAATAAACCTATAGTTCGTGGTTAGCAGTTTACCTACTTATAGCCAGGCAGTGTGGTGGTTAAATGCCAGAGCTACCTGGGTTTTACTTAGGCCCTTATCAGCTAGCATGGCCTAGGAAAGTTACTTCATCTGAAGAGAAAGAATTGGGTAGTGGCTCTGGAGTCAGACTGTCAACATTCTAACCCAGTTTCCCACCTGTGTGAACCTGGGCTAAAAGCAAGAATTTAAACTCCCAATACCCTCATCTGTAAAATGGGGATGCTGGAACCCATTGCATCAGTTGTTGTGACGATTAAAAGAGTAAATGCATGTAAAATGTGGCACATGAGCTTATAATGGGGTGGGGGTGATGACAGATAGGAGATTAAATGCATGGAAAGCACTCAATGTACATTAAGTGCACATAAAAGGCAGCTGCTGTGTTATAGCAAAACACATCATTGGGAGAGTTTAAAAAGAGCTTGAATTCAGCAATTCCTCTGGGTATTTATCCAAAGAAAATGAAAAAACTAACTTGAAAAGATATATGCATCTGCACGTTCATTGCAGTCTTATGTCTTACAATAGCCAAGATATGGAAGCAACCTGTCCTTGTACGGATGAATGGATAAAGAAAATGTGTGTGTGTGTATACATATACACGCAATGGAATATTACCTAGCCATTAAAAAGAATGAAGTCTTGTCATTTGCAACAACATGGATGAGCCCTGAGGGCATTATGCTAAGTGAGAAGTAAATCAGAGAATGACAAATTCCATAGGAACTCACTTATAGGCGGAATCTAAAAAACAAGAAAACAAGCTCTTAGATACAGAACAGATTGGTGGTTGCCAGAGGCGAGGGAAAGGGGCAGGTGAAATGGGTATAGGTGGTCAAAAAGTACAAAATTTCAGCTATAAAATAAATAGCTCCTGGGGATATAATGTACAGCATGGTGACTCTAATAATAATACTGTGTTGCATGTTTGAAAGTTGCTGAGAGAGCAAATCTTAAAAGTTCTCATCACAAGAAAAAAACCTATGTAACCGTGGTGATGGATGTTAACTAGACTTATTATGGTGATCTTTTGCAATATATGCAAATACTGGATCATTATATTGCACACCTGAAACTAATATAATGTTGTATGTCAATTATACTTCAATAAAAGATAAATTAAAAATTCAAAAATCAATAGGGAGAGCTTGGAATTAAATTTAAAGGTGAAATGGGGGCTTAAAATAAGAATTTCTCACCATATTTATAAACGATTCCCTGTTTTTAAAAAGCAAATGGAGCCGAGTCCCATCACTTCGCTTCCTATTGCCTGAACATACGAGCATTTTTCATTTCAGTGTTCACTGTCTGGGTGACTAGATGATATGTTTGCATCTGCTTGCTTCTATTAAATCAGTTAAGTTGCTACCTTCCTTGTTACAGGTTTGTATGGGGGCTCAAGTTAGCTGTTAAAATAAATATATCCTCAAGGCAACCTCTGAACCACCAACTTTTGGGCATCAAGTTCCCTCTTAATAATAGGCTTCTGTTTTGACCCCAGTGTGTGAAGAAAGAGAGATTACTGCCTATGACTTTGGGTCAGTTTCTTATCTTTCACAACTCTTTGGGGAGAACTTCCTTAGAGAAAGTGAATATTTGAAATGGTATCTTAAGATTTCAATTTCACACACAGTGGTTGTAAGAAATAACTGCCTACCAGTGGGATTTCATTTCTATTCAACGGGCAATTAAATTGCTCAAATTTAAGCTTAACATTTAGAATCAAGTCTCAAAATGTGTTTTTATTATGAATAATTTTAAAGCAATTGTGACCTTACTGTATCTTTCTATAGCAAACCTTATGCCTTATGCAGAAGAGGGACTCAGTAACTATGAGGCAATTCAAACATGCAAAACAGTTCTTGAGAGTTGGGGAAATCTGTACTTATACCCACCCAGTGGGATTGCAATTTAATTCTTCTTCCCCACCCCAGCCCCTTCTCCTTGCTAATCTTGAACACCTTAAAATTTAGAAATTTTAACTTCTAAATTAAAATTGAATGTGAATGTCAGAGGAAGACCGAATCAGTCGGCGTGATGAATCTGACCTCAGGTAGATTGCTTTCTTCCTGTTGGCATTTTCTATTCTTTTTGCTTATTACATTTACAATTGTTTTCTAGGGAAGAGCGGTTTCAAGTGACTAAGGCTGCATTTCTTTGCTAAAATGGACTTCTAATAGAAATGAAAATGCAAATGTCATTGGGAAAATGCCAAGAGTGAAAATTTACTTCTTTTATTTCTTTTCCCAATCGTTAGAAGCTAAGTGGTATCACATGCCTGTGAGCTGTGACATTCACGTATAGAAACAAAAATAAAGATTTGTCTTAATATGGCTCCAGTTCCCATGCAAAATTCTTTAAACTGCTCAATTGTCATAGGCATCTGGCTCCCAAACTCATCCCAGGACATTTTTAGTTGGTGGATATGTTTTCACAGAATGTTAGACCTATTAGTAATCTTAGTAATAAATAAATCAGGTTACCTGTACAGTTGAATAGACCCCCAAAAAGTCTTTAAAAATCCATTTCAACTGAGGCTCAGGAGAATGAGCATAGATGTTAGACAGACACAGCTCAGCTGGTTACTAGCTGTGTGATTTGAAGGAAGTTACTTCACCTCTCTGAACTTCAGTTTCTATATCTGTAAATGGAGGCAGTTGTAATGCTTAGCAGGGTTGGGACTAGGGTGAGGCCACTGCGATCACCTCACAGGAGTTTTAAGAGGATGTGCTAAGAGTTTTAGCATGATGTGTGTGAAAATGCTTTGCACACTAATGGTGCATAGTAAATACATAGAAATGAGAGTTGTTGGGGCACCTGAGCGGCTCAGTTGCTTAAGCGTTCGACTTTGGCTCAGGTCATGATTTCGAGGTTCGTGGGTTCGAACCCCGCGTCGGGCTCTGGGCTGACAGCTCAGAGCCTGGAGCCTGCTTTGGATTCTGTGTCTCCCTCTGTCTGCCCCTCCACTGCCTGC